TTTTTGCAAACTTCAGTGTCATTTTGCTAGAACAAAGAGCATTATTTCTTCAATTTTCTTATGGAATGAAAGTTCATGATGAAAAGGTTGAGGAAGACAAAACAATTCTACACACTTCATGCTTGATCCACCTGTCATGTAATGAACGCAAAACAAGAGATCATAATATCTTGTCTCAACAAGGTTTCAAACGCTTGCATGAACTGTGTCCATTTTGTTTTGATTTGAGCTATGATGCATTTTGACAGAATAAAGTTAGGGATTTCAGAAAGAGGCAGAACCAACCCTGTAGGAAAAGAAATCTAAATCAAACGTGTCTCAGTGAGTTTTCCCATAACCAACACTAGCTATAAAAATGCATGTTATTACCCCACCTCAGTTTTCATGTGGTCAGTCATAGTAATGTTTGTCTTCCTTTTCTTGTTAAAATTTAGAGTTAAGAGATTTGCATTGTTTTACAGAGGTTAGTATGGTTTCATTCCTAGTTTTTAAGCAAGGCTTTTGGGAATATGGCATCTACAGTTTTCTTTCAGATTTGATTTTAGTTAACTTCTCAGTTGGAACCTTTGAAGTCTTGGTGTCACAGGGTTGAGCTCTAGGGACTGATTATTATGATTTTGGTAATGTATGGGTAAACACACATAATTATTTTTTTCCACACAAACTGTATTGTAATGGAAAGCATCTACTTCTAAAGAATTAGAAAGACATGTTTCTCAACTAAGGTTTGTCTGGCAGTGAGAGATTTATTTGGTGGCTTGGCTTTTGAACTCAATCCTGAACTGTATCTGTTGCTTTTGAACTCAATCTGATCCCCTGCTTAATTTATCCCTGCAGTAATTGCAGTTTTACAACATTCCATTTGTCCTTCTAAACAAATATTTGTATGTAACCTCTTCTTTTAAAAATTGCTTGGTTAAGATTATCCTTTCTTTTTCTGATGCACTGCATTCATTGCAATTGGATGACTGAGATGCAAACTTCAGAACAGAAATTGCCAATGTGTTTGTTTACATTCGTGGCATTGGTGAATCTCCATGGTGATGGTTGTCATAAATATTTCAGCTTGATGAAGGCCTTGGAGGGCACCCAGTGCATCTCCTTGTTCATTTTAAAATCATGAACATGAGTACATCTGAAAGTTAAGAGAAAGTGATCATAATGAGAAATGCAGTGAAACAGAGGGAATCACAAGGCTGTTAACATTGCAGTTTTAAATGTCATTTTTGGGAGAAACAAAC